ATCAGATCAGAAAGATTCAGATCAGATCAGATCAGAAAGATTCAGATCAGATCAGAAAGATTCAGATCAGATCAGACCAGATCAAAAACATTCAGATCAGATCAGAAACATTCAGATCAGATCAGATCAGAAAAGTTCAAACATGATTTATCATTTTTATTATTATATTAAATATTAATTATTATTACTAATATTGTTATTACTATTATAATTATTATTATATAATTATTATTAATAATATTAATAATAATATGATAAAAAAAATATTAATAATAGTTATAATATTTTAATATAATAATAGTAATATAAATGCAATTGTTAAGAAGACTATTATTATTATTATTACAATATTATAATAATAATAATATGATTAATATTACTATAATATTATATTATAATTATATGTAATTATAATTATAATTATAATTACAATTATAATTCTTATAATTATAAGTATAATCAATTGTAATTATTATAATTATATCTATAATTAATTATAAATATAATTGTAATTAATTATAATTATAATAATTATAATTATAATCACAATCATAATTATAATTATAATTATAATATAATATTATAATAATATAATACTAATTATAATAATAATCATATTATTATTATATTATTGTAATAATAATATTATTATATTATTGTTGATGGAAGTAAATCCACCGGAAAATAATTAATAAGAGATAGCCGAAAATAATTAAAGTGCTCAGGATAATCTTTAGAGAGATAAATGTATGTAGTGTATTCAGTGTCTTGAGCTTTCCAAAGATTACATGATTTTATAGTAGGAAATAAGACATAAAAGATTTGGGCGACGTGGTCGCCATGTTCGTATTGATACGCAAATCACTAATCCGGATCCGCGGGATCCTTTGTTGATTGTGTGTATCTCTGAAAAGACGTCATTGATGTAGTTTGTCGTACGGAGTTGCCATGTAGCTTGCCATGATGTCCAGAGACACCATGCATAGATTATTTGGATAGGCTTCAACTACCATGTCCAGGGTCGCTGTGGACGCTCCTTTGGCTAAGGTACTTGATCGCGCCCATGGTTGCTGTGGACATGCTCTCTGGATAAGCCTACCCCGACATCCACGGTCACTGTGTAGTTCCTGATCTTCTATTAACTTGCGTCCACAGTCGTCATGTACAATATTTTATCTTCTAACCCGCGCGTGGTCACCATGTACGAGCTCTTCTCATACCTTGTCATCATCCGTGCATAGTTACCATGCACATCAACCTCTAACTGTTTTCATCCATGTTAACCCGGTCAACATTTATCCATGGTTGGGATAATTATACCATCACAAGCCCCCCACTCCTTAAGCCAAATAGCATATTGGCTATAAGGAGTGTAGACACAGTTACCGTGTCAACCTTGAGCGTACATGGTCACCATGTCAACCTTTGTTATTTGCTTTTAACCCATTCAATCATTTAGTTTTTTATTTTTTATTTTTAACCAAAATGTACTCCATGACTCAAAATTAAAATTACTCTCACCCAATCTTCTGATTAGCTTTGCAGGTCACGAGCAGTCACATTTGCTCTATTCCAGGCCACAACCCGCCGTCAACCATCACTCGGTCAACGTCGCCCGCTGCGAGTTCAATTTTACCGGCGTCGCCGCCGACCACCGAACTCCTGTAGCCAAGCTTCTCACTATCGCAAGTCTCCTCTGTTCCGGGTCACGACCTGTCTGCTCCGTCATTCTAACCCATCTGCTGCCGCTGTGTGGCCTGTGTCACGGGTGCTCTAAGGTGAAGGTGCACCACTGACGTTACTCCTCTGTCGTCGGGCATCAGTGTAATTAAGAGATATTACGCACCATTCTCCGTCGCCGTCTATCCCTGTGCCATCGCCGTTCTCTTGCTCTAGATTTTGCGCCGCCGCTGCTGGGTCACGTACGCAATACGCAGGTAAGCTCCTTGCCTTCCCTTCCTTCCCTTTTATCTACTCTTATTTTGATTTTGATTTTATTTTTCTTTCCCCAAATACGTATAGCTAGGAATATCCTCATTAAAATTGCTCATGAAATTTGCTTCTACCACAGCTGCCTCGATTATGCTTCTCTCACTATTTATTTTGGTGACATCTTTTTTGAATGCTGTTTGTTTTCTCAATAGCTGCCTGCCACCATTCATGGACGTATTAAATTCCATAGATTCTGATGAATTATTGAGTGGCGACGGGGAATTAGTGTTGGAGAATTTTCCCCATCCCTTTACAGAGGTTAATTCTGATGTTGAAGAAATTAGTCCCATAAAGCCACGAGCCGCTTCAGTCAAACCACCAAAACGTCGCTACCGTGGTCCGTATCCACCCTTAGACCCGAGCCCCATCTTACACTACAGGTCGTGCCTCTCAGTTTCCAAGTTTCAAAAGTATAAGAAATTTTTTCCGTCCACAGTGACTGTCCGATGTCCAGATTCGGAGGATATTGTAACCGATCCTCCTAAGGGTCACTTTTTCGGGGTGCATATTCTTTCCATAAAATTAGGATTCCGCTTTCCCACACACCCTTTGATTATCGAGTTTTTAAATGATCTTGAAATTTCACCTTGTCACTTGACTCCGCTCGGTCATCAATATCTGGTAGCTTTCCTGGTCCGGTGTGAGACACTTGGGATTGAACCGTCCCTAGACCTCTTCAAGCACATGTTCCGAGCTGGGCAGTGCTCGGCATCTGATAGTCTGTCCTGGGTGTCTATCTCTCAGCGTAACCACTTTGACATGTGGAAGGTCACTCGTAGCAACGAAGCCAATTGGAAAGAAGAATTTGTCTATGTGTCGTCTGGATCTCCGTTACCTTTTTCATCGTCTTTGAATTGTCGATTTAAGAAGTATTCGTACCCGAAACTTCCGGTTGACCAGGAAACATGGCCGGCTATGATTCTTTCTGGAGGACCGTATAGCCTCTCTGCCTTTACTTCCGAGGACCGCCTAACCACGGTTGGACTCTATTCGCCGTCACCATGTTCGGGTGCACACGCATCCACGTCCACGGATCAAGGTTGTCCACAGTTACTTTGTCTATAGGAGATAATACACGCATATATATATTAACTAACACATATGCATACCCCCTTTTTTTTGCAGATATGACATCGCGGTTGGAGATGTTCCAAAGCTTCGACCAGGATGGGCCTCGCGGTAGTGACCAGGGGCGCTCTGACAAGAAACCAAGGGTTCCCTCCGTCACAAAAGGCAAGGATGCCATTGTAACTGTGCCTTCATCCATTGCAAAACGCAGGGCCGCTAGCCCCGCAGCCCGTGTCACCCGTAGCATGAGTGATATTCCCACGGCGGGGATGACTACTTGGTTACGAGGTAACATTGAGTTACCTCCGCTCTTATCACAGGTGATCACGGCGACTGAGAAGGAGAAAATTTCAACACTTGACCATGCTGCTTTAGAGAAGAGGAGCCACCATGGCCTGGCCGAGGTAACCCTCCCATTTCCCCGTTACCTTTTATTTATGCATCTCGTGATACTAATTTTTTTTTTCTTTTTTGTAGCTACTGTTGTCCATCTCCGAGGTGAACCGAAGGAAAGATGAGCGCGAAAAAGATTTGTCGCTACAACTCACCGAATTAGCGAAGGAGGTGGCATCGCTCAAGCTCGTGCGTGACTCACATGCAGCCGAGGTCACTGTGCTTAAAGAAATGCACGCCGTGGAGTTGGCCAATGCAAGGGGGCGGGCCGTGGATGCATACAAGAATTCTTCAGAGTATGTGTCTGATCAGGAAGCATACATTAATGCCCACTTGAACGATATTAGCAAGCATTGGTTGTCTACTCCGGAAGGTCGTGAGAAACTGGCCTTAGAGAGCTACATCTCCTACCAGATCGGGATATATGCCACTCAACAGAAAGTATATCCTATCTTGAGGGATAAGGCTGGTACCTCTTGCATCACTGATTGGGGACTTCCTCCTGAGGTTCCCAACCCTGAGATCCCGGTAGCCAACACGCCCCTGGACTATATTCCTTTTGACAGACTCCCCACTGATGAGGAGCTTGGCGATCTTCCTTCCAAGACAGATCACCCAGCTTCGACTGCTTCTGTGCCTTAGAGCATGCATGGGAGTGACGGATGGACGTAGTGTAGACTTTAATTCTGTCATGTCTTCAATTACGAGTACCTGAATTGCTAAACATGTTTTGAATTTCATAAAATAATAATGATGCATGTCTTATTTTCCTTTCATTATTGTTTTGTATTATCGCATAATTAATTATTTGACCAACATTTAGGTTTTATGAGACCACGATGTGACCATGCCTTGTTTGGCATGGTTTGTGTGATCATTCATAGTAGTGTACGGTGATACTACACCAAGTGTATAACTTTGGTGCATTTATCGCCCCGTATCTGCCTAATTTTCAATTGAGGCATTGTGCATTTAGATAGAGTGACTGAGGACAACGATAGGCACAAGGTGTCGTTGACACCTCCTCCTTCGCTACATTGCGCGCATCACTTATTCCCAAAAAATAGGACTAAGTGAGCGAACCTAACACCTGAGTGACTTAGGCTTGCTCTGGGGCACACAACGTTTTTTGGGAAACATGGCCGCTATCCGATATATTTCACAGATGCATCCTGACCATACAACCCTGAGGGTTACGCATTTGTTGGGATCAATTTGCAATGTATCCTCGTCCCCTTTTTAGGGGCGAGTCTACACCCCTTGCGTGTTGAGAATTTTAGCTATGTCATAGGAGACATGCCTGACTACTTACTAGTTTTTTATTTCATTTCTTTTTGTTTTTTTTTTCTTGTTTTGGGTGAGTTTTACACCCATGGTGTCCTTGGATGACACCTTGTAGTTTGTTTTTTGTTTTGGGTGAATTTTACACCCCTGGTGTCCTTGGACGACACCTTTTTTTTTTTTTTTTTTTTTTTTTGCGGCCAAGGACTGCCATTATTCACTCTTGTGTGGATCAAGGAGATCTCTTATTTGAAAACAGTGGATGGAAAAGGACCGCGTTTACCACCATACGTGGTTACCATACATCATAATCATCAGGTGGAGTATCAGTGATAAATTTTCAATGGTAGAACTTGAGCAAGTGTTCTGCGTTCCAAGTCCTCTCAATTTCTTTTCCCTTCGGTGTCTGGAGTTTGAACGTCCCTGGACGGATCACTGATTTAATCACGTAAGGGCCTTCATAATTTTTGGCAAATTTCCCCCCTTCCAAGGGTTTGCTGACCTCCCTTTTTCTCAAGACATAGTCCCCAACTTCAAAGTTGCGTTTGCGAACTCGAGAATCATGGTATCCCTTCACCTGCCTTCTATAGTTCTCCGCACGACAGAAAGCCGCTTCCCTTCTTTCTTCAATAAAAAGAAGCTCGGTCGCCATGACCTCCTCGTTCGTCTCGGGGTCATATTCCTCTTCTCGGCGGCTATGGAGAATTACTTCCGCAGGTGCCCTCGCCTCGAAACCATATGTCAAGGCGAATGGTGTCTCCCCTGTGGCCTTTCTTGGTGTGGTCCTGTATGCCCAGAGTATCTGTGGTAGTTCTTCAGCCCACTCCCCTCCGGCAGTTTCCAGTTTTTTCTTCAAACCGTCCATGATCGTGCGGTTTGCATTCTCCACTTGGCCATTCGCTTGGGGATAGGCAACTGACGCATTGCTATGTTTGATCCCCCAACTCTCACAGAATTCGTTAAACCCGGATGCTCCGAATTGCCTCCCATTATCGGTTATAATCTGTTGGGGTACTCCAAAGCGACAAAGGATGTGCTTCATGACAAATTTTCTGCATTGCCCTTCAGTGATGCTAGCTAGGGGTACTGCTTCTATCCATTTAGTAAAATAGTCTATGGCAACGATAACCCATCTCACGCTCCCTGTTCCCCTTGGTAAGGCACCAATGAGATCTATCCCCCACCTTGCGAAAGGTATAGCCGTGCTGATGGGGGTGTAGTTGGTGGCTGGACGTCCCGGAGATTTCTGGAACTCTTGACACACCACACACCTCTTGACAAATTCAGCGCAATCCTTAACTATGGTTGGCCAGAAGAAACCTTGTAGGATTACCTTTCGGGACATGGTGTGTGCTCCTTGGTGAGCTGAGCATATCCCTGCATGTATCTCTTCCATGGCAACCTTGGCTTCATCTGGTCGTAAGCACTTGAGAAGCGTGCCATTGTAAGACCTCTTGTACAGTTTCTCATTCAAAATGGTATAACTCGGCGCCCTCATCTTAGTCACCTTGGCTTCAACCTCCTCCGCGGGCAGCACTCCCTCGTTGATATACTTGATGAGGGAGTCAATCCAGTCCGCGTCCCTCGTGGTTATGGCCTGGACAGGGCATGCATATATGCTGGAAGTGTCCAACTCTTCTATTCTCGCAATCTTTGAAATCCTTTCCGGTGTCTCTGCACTTAGTTTGGATAACATGTCTGCTTCGACATTTTGGGCTCTTGGTATCTGTTCAATTTCATAGGCGATGAACAATTTCAAAAGTTCTAGGGCAGCGTCACGATATAGCCGCATCCGTTCTTCCTTCGCCTCAAACTCAGTCGTGATCTGTCCAACCACTAGTTTTGAATCACACCGTATCTTGAGACGAAGATTGAACTTCTCCATGATTTTGAACACCTCTGCCAAATCCACGGCATGCGTACCTGCTCTTTTACTCTTCACAATCATATCATCCACGTAGGCCTCCATGGTGCGGCCTAGGACAGGTCGAAAAAGTTTAGAGATCATGCGAGTGTACGTTGCCCCAGAGTTTTTCAGTCCAAACGCCATGACTAAGTAACAGAAAACACCCTCTGGAGTCATGAATGAGGTTTTCTCCGCATCCTCCTCATGCATGCGAATTTGGTGGTATCCACTGAAAGCATCAATGAAACTCATCAACTCGCACCCTGCTGTCTCGTCCACCAATTGGTCGATGTTAGGCAATAGGAATGGATCCATCGGGCATGCCTTGTTTAGGTCAGTGTAATCCACACACATCCTCCACGTTGGGGGTTTAGGTGCCAATACCACATTTGCCAACCATTCTGGGTATTTTACCTCCTTGATGTGGCCGATTTTTAACAAGGTGCCCACTTCTTTCCTTACGAATTCCCGCCTGTCCGAGGACATGTAACGTTTCTTTTGTTTCACCGGATTTGACATAGTGTTCACATCTAGGCGATGAGAGATGACATCTCTACTGATGCCCGGCATGTCCTCTGGTCCTCTTGCAAATATGCCTTGGTACATAGTCAGGACGGTTATGACCTCAGCGCGGAGCTCAGCTGACAATCCGGTGCCTATCTTAACCTTGCGCTCTGGGGTTGCAGGGTCAAGGGTGACGTCTTCTGTCCCTTCTGATGGTTCAGCACGGGGTCTTCGCTCTTCATCTTGTAGGTATTGTGTGGCCACAGTGTTTACCTGGAGGCCATGCCGCCCCACCTTCTTTGTGATTTTTATGTAGCATGTTCGGGCGAGCTTCTGGCTCCCGCGTGCTATCCCCACTCCGGTTGGTGTTGGGAACTTAATACAAAGATGTGCCGGGGACACAATGCACTGCAAATCTTCCAGGCCTGGCCGTCCGAGTATGAGATTATGTGCACATGTCAGTCGGACAACTACGAACTCCATGTTGAGTTTCACTTTATGGGACGTGTCCCCCACCTCCACCGGGACCGTGACAACTCCCTCTGCCTCGATAGAGTCACCCGTGAACCCAGATAATGGGGTTTTTATCGGATGGAGTTTTCCTTTGGACAACTTCAGTTTCTCGAAAGTGTCGAGGTACATTATGTTAACGGAGCTTCCAGTGTCGACCAGGGTACGGTGTATGACAAGATCATTGATCTCCATTTTGATAACCATGGCATCCCGATGTGGGCTTGGACATGGTGGTAGGTCATCATCAGTAAAGCATATAGGTTCACGTCGTACCTTCTTTTTCATTGGAGAGTGCATGATCTCACCAATGTACAGTTGACGAGCCCATTTCTTTCGAAGGGACAAAGAGTCCCCGCCTGCATTACCTCCATAAATGAAATTGATGTCATGGTTCCTCTTGTCTCGCTTCGGCCCTGGCTCATCCGAGGCATCCTCGTCACTCTCATTTCCAATGTGTCTTTTCTCTACCCTTCGGGTCTCCGGCTGCGTGCATGCCACTTGTTCTGATGATTTCCGCCATACATGGTTGGGCTGCTGTGCAGCCCCTTTGACGAAGTTACTCAGATGGCCCCTTTGGATCAGTCTTTCAATCTCGCGTTTCAAGGTAAAGCACTCCTCCGTGTCGTGATTATCAACCCGGTGATAGCGGCAATACTTTTTAGCACCAAAGACAGTGTACACTTCACCCTCCGGCCTCGGTCCTTGCATGAGACCCATACGCTCGGCATAATCCAAGATCGTACCCACAGGATGAGTTAAGGGCATCGAGCTTGTATTAAGAATCTGCCTTGGACCATAATTGAAATCTTTCTTGTTTTTCTTTTGTTTTTTGTGGTGAGGGACAGACCCCTCCCTCCAAGGTTCCGATGACTCGTCCTTTTTCTTTTGCACCTCTCGGATCTCCGCATCGGCGTATCGGTCAGCTCTTTGAAGGGCGGCCTGGTACGACCTTGGCGGGTCCCGGATGAGACTTGAGGCGAACTCTCCAGCCCGCAACGCTGCCTGGAACATGGCAAAGCGAGTTTGGTCGTCCGCCCCATGCACGGCAGAAGACTCCTTCCTCCACCGTATCACGAAATCTTTCAAGTCCTCACCCTTCTTTTGCTTCACGGTCAGGAGGTGTGAGTAGTGTTGCTTGGTTCTTTTGCTAGCGGCAAAGTGTTGAAGAAACCTTTGCGCTAAGTCCTCCCATTCATCTATCGAGCCATGGGGGAGAGAATTGAACCACTCACACGCAGTTCCCTCCAACGTAGCTAGAAAACAACGGCAAATTATTTCCTCTGATGCCCCAATCATAATCATATTAGCATAATAACGTGACAAATGTTCCTGGGGATCTGAGGTTCCCGAATAGGCCTTGACATGGGGCGCCTTGAAGCCAATTGGTAACGGGTATGCCATGATCCGTGTAGTGAACGGGGTTACCGTCTTTAGTGTAGCGTCTGTGTTTCCATCTCCTGCATCTACCTGTCGTTGCAGGTCCTCGATTTTTCTCCATAGCTTCCTCACCTCCACGTCATTTAGATCATTCTTGGTTCTGTCTGCTTGAATCGTCACACGTTTCCTGCCACCGTCCTCTACTTCTGTGTTCCTCGGTTTTTGTGAACGTATTTCAGTCCCGCCGACATGCTCAGTCATGTGTCCAAGTGAATGGTGACTGGCAGTCATATGGGTGACTTTGGGAGTTTGCACGTGCTCCTCTTCGCCGTGGTCATGTCGTCCACGGTGGTTTTGTGTATCCCTTTCTTTCTCAACATGGTGCGATCGTCCGAGACGGTCTTTAGCAGAGCGTCGTCGGTCTCCCAATCTACTAAACACTGAGGCTTCACTTCGAGCTGGTTGGTTCGAAGAGACAGGGATTCCTCTTCCCTCTCTTTTCTCTCCATTTTTTCGAGATGGCGCCGGTGATGTCACCTCCACCTCCACCGCCGGATGATTAGTCGGAACTTGAGTTCCGTGTGGTTGAGGAGGCTTTTGATGAGTGCTAGGAATTGCACGGCGTACGTCCTTCGCAAGAGTACCCAACATCTTGGTCATCCCTAGGATGGCACCATGGACATCGAGCACTTCTACGGGAACCACCGCAGGGCGGCTAAGTCGGTTACGCAGGTCTTGCTTGACCCGATGAGTTGGACGCAGTGTGTCCATCGGCGGGTACATCCTTCTCCGCCCTTGTAGTAGCCATTGTTACAACGTTGAGATAGCCTGAGTGTATTTTCGGCTCTCAATGAGAGCACCAAAATGATGGAAGTAAATCCACCGGAAAATATTTAATAAGAGATAGCCGAAAATAATTAAAGTGCTCAGGATAATCTTTAGAGAGATAAATGTATGTAGTGTATTCAGTGTCTTGAGCTTTCCAAAGATTACATGATTTTATAGTAGGAAATAAGACATAAAAGATTTGGGCGACGTGGTCGCCATGTTCGTATTGATACGCAAATCACTAATCCGGATCCGCGGGATCCTTTGTTGATTGTGTGTATCTCTGAAAAGACGTCATTGATGTAGTTTGTCGTACGGAGTTGCCATGTAGCTTGCCATGATGTCCAGAGACACCATGCATAGATTATTTGGATAGGCTTCAACTACCATGTCCAGGGTCGCTGTGGACGCTCCTTTGGCTAAGGTACTTGATCGCGCCCATGGTTGCTGTGGACATGCTCTCTGGATAAGCCTACCCCGACATCCACGGTCACTGTGTAGTTCCTGATCTTCTATTAACTTGCGTCCACAGTCGTCATGTACAATATTTTATCTTCTAACCCGCGCGTGGTCACCATGTACGAGCTCTTCTCATACCTTGTCATCATCCGTGCATAGTTACCATGCACATCAACCTCTAACTGTTTTCATCCATGTTAACCCGGTCAACATTTATCCATGGTTGGGATAATTATACCATCACAATCATAATCATAATTATAATTATAATTCTTACAATTATAATTCTTATAATTATAAGTATAATCAATTGTAATTATTATAATTATATCTATAATTAATTATAAATATAATTGTAATTAATTATAATTATAATAATTATAATTATAATCACAATCATAATTATAATTATAATTATAATATAATATTATAATAATATAATACTAATTATAATAATAATCATATTATTATTATATTATTGTAATAATAATATTATTATATTATTGTAATAATAATATTAATATAATAATGTCGTTATAATAATATTAATTGTATTTATATTACTATTATTAAATTATAATATTATAATTAATATTAATATAATTATAATTATTATTAATTATAATTATAATAATTTTAATTATACTTATAATTATATTATAATTATAATTTATGATTATAATTATTATTTTTATTATAATTATTATTATTATTATTATTATTATTATTATTACTATTTTAATTATTTTATGGAGTAATTATAATAATATTGATAACTATAGTTACAATTATAGAGATAAATATTGTAATTATAATTACAATTATAATTATAATTTTATTTAAATTATATTTGTAATTGCAATTATAATAATTATAATTATAATTATAATTATAATTATAATTATAATTATAATTATAATTATAATTATAATTATAATTATAATTATAATACACAAATTAAATCCCCGGTATATCGTAGCCCTCCTCCTACTACTACTGGTTGGGGGGGGGGGGGGGGGGGGGGGGGTAGAAAGAAGGCTTCAAAGGTTGGTCATTTGGGAGAGGACTATCCGTATATGACCAAAGTTCAATTTACATTTATATTAAATATTAATTATTATTACTAATCAGATCAGAAAGATTCAGAAAGATTCAGATCAGATCAGAAGGATTCAGATCAGATCAGAAACATTCAGATCAGATCAGAAAGATTCAGATCAGATCAGATCAGATCAGAAAGATTCAGATCAGATCAGAAAAATTCAGATCAGATCGGATCAGAACTTAAAAAATTCAGATCAGAAACATTCAGATCAGGCGAAGAGAACAGCTTCTAAGACGAACAGAACAGCTTCTTATTCGAACAACACTCATTAAACTTTTGAAAATTACAACGGAAACTACTGTTCAAAGTTATTGTAAGAAGCTGTTCTCTTCGCCTGATCTGAATGTTTCTGATCTGAATTTTTTAAGTTCTGATCTGATCTGATCTGAATTTTTCTGATCTGATCTGATCTGATCTGAATCTTTCTGATCTGATCTGATCTGAATCTTTCTGATCTGATCTGATCTGATCTGAATCTTTCTGATCTGATCTGAATGTTTCTGATCTGGTCTGATCTGATCTGAATGTTTCTGATCTGATCTGAATCCTTCTGATCTGATCTGAATCTTTCTGATCTGATCTGATTTGAATGTTTCTATTATTATAATTATAATTATAATTATAATTATAATTATTATAATTGCAATTACAAATATAATTTAAATAAAATTATAATTATAATCGTAAATATAATAATAATAATAATAATAATAATAATAATAATTAAAATTAAATTTAAAATGAAAAAATTTATACCTATTACACTAATTATAAATATAGATATAATTATAACTGTAATTATATTTTTAATTATAATTACTTATATAATTATAATTGTAATTATAATTACAATATTTATCTCTATAATTGTAACTATTGTTATCAATATTATTATAATTACTCCGTAAAATAATTACAAAAGTAGTAGTAGTAATAATAATAATAATAATAACAATAAAAAAAATAATTATAATCATAAATTATAATTATAATATAATTATAAGTATAATTATAATTATTATAATTATAATTATAATTAATAATAATTATAATTATATTAACATTCATTAAAATATTATAATATAATTATAATTATAATAATTATAATTAATAATAATTATAATTATATTAAAATTAATTATAATATAATAATAGTACCATAAATACAATTAATATTATCATAACGATATTATTATATTAATATTATTATTACAATATATTAATAATAATACGATTATTATTATTATTAGTATTACTATATTATTATAATATTATATTATAATTATAATTATAATCATAATTATAATTATGATTGTAATGATAATTATAATTATTATAATTATAATTAATTATAGATATAATTATAATAATTACAATTGATTGTATTTATAATTATAAGAATTATAATTGTAATTCAAATTATAATTACATATAATTATAATATAATATTATAATAATATTAATCATATTATTATTATATTGTAATAATAATAATAATAATAATAATAATAATAATAATAATAATAATAATAATAATAATAATAATAATAATAATAGTCTTCTTAATAATTGCATTTATATTACTATTATTATATTAAAATATTATAACTTTTATTAATATCTTATTTCTTTATCATACTATTATTAATATATTAATAATAATTATATAATAATAATCATAATAGTAATAACAATATTAATAATAATAATTAATATAATAATAAAAGTGATAAATCATGTTTGAACTTTTCTGATCTGATCTGATCTGATCTGAATGTTTCTGATCTGATCTGAATGTGTCTGATCTGGTCTGATCTGAATCTTTCTGATCTGATCTGAATCTTTCTGATCTGATCTGATCTGATCTGAATTTTTCTGATCTGATTTGATCTGATCTGAATAAAATAAGAATAAGCAATAAGTAATAAGAATAAGACGAACAGAACAGCACCTAAAGCAGTATTATATTTGGGAATTGGGAGTAATGTGTAGCTTAAGATCTTCTATCCGAAGTTCGGGATCAAATCAAAATCATTTCTCCTATGAAAATTATGTACACATTCATTTTCCTCATTATACTATTGGATTTCTATGTTGCACCTTGATATGGCTCGACTAAAGTTCATAAAGTGCAAGAGACGGACTCTAAAGCTCATTAAGTTGAGTAAAATGTGGCGGTTTGTACTTTGTAGTTTGCATGATAAATGTGGTTTTTGCGAGAAACGCGCTTACACCACAGCTATATTGATGTTACTCCCTTCGTCTCTTAAAATTTGGATAGCTTTGCTTTTTTAGCATATTTCCATTTAATGTAGCATAGGTTAAAGTTACTTCTTTCTACTTGCGTAAATTTAAGGTTTACGCTAAATTATCAATTCAATTTTTACCAAGTCTTATGGGATTAAGAATGTGCTTTATGCATAGTTGGTTTGTTAGTGAGAGGCAAAAATTTGAGCCCGTGCTCTCAACATCAATGATAAATCGAGTACACAATTTTTGGTGTTTAATAAAACTATAAAAGGGCAAATTTAGCGTTTGTCCAAAAAAATGTCTGCTAAGTGGAAAGACTGTAGCGAACTTGCCTTAATTTGTAAAATATGTTATTTGAAATATAGGATCTCGAGTAATCGAAATTTGCCTCTCGTTATTGCACTTATATGTCGTTCTGATGCAATCTTCGCTAGTGAAGAAAATCACATATTTATTAAAAACTTTTTTAAGCGTGAAGGGTACATTATTCCGATATACAAGTGCAAACCACTGAAGTATAACTGCAATTTGCATTTTCACAAGTTAAGTGTTATTTAATTTGAACCAGAATCTCACGTCGATTGTCCGACAATAAGTCAAGGAATGTCATTGTGATAAAGAATAAAAAGAGACAACCCAACTGTCAAAAATAGAAAAGAGTGAAATAAAATACTTTGATCTAATAAGTATAACGGTTTAGTTGCATTGGAACTTTAGTTATTGATAGGGATCTTTCCTAAGTAGTCACTTTTTCATGGCTGAACATACGAGAACTTTGAAGCAATTAATGATTATAGAGACTTTAATACTTCTGATCATAGCTAAATTAGATAATTCAAGACTGTCACTAACACAAACAATTTGAAAAAAGGGTAAATAGTCTATAGAAATTAAAAAAACTTGAAATAAAATTAAAGCAAACCCTATCCACTCGTTCACTCAATGGAGGCGGCTAAAAATGGGGCCGGATCATCAACACTTCATCTTTTTCATCCAAGACCAAAAGATCGAAGGCCAAAACAAATGACGTTGTAGTCACCGCCGGTGATACCACAAGTGTAGCGACCACCGTTGCAGGACCCATCGTGGCTACAAGACTCACTCCAAGCACAAAGAAGACTGCTATGGAGAGCTTCGCCTGGTAACTGTTATACCTTAGGTATTGATCGAGAATCCAAATTCAAGAAACAAACCTCTCCATCCCCATGATAAGAGAAAAACTACACGCACACTTATGCGGTGGAAAAGATAAACCCTATGTAGGCGAGCAACTCTGCCGCATGGGTGAGATTTTGGAACTGGGAACCGTAGAACCGGTTGGAACCGAACCGTTATAACGCGGTTCGGTTACTACAAATGAGGTATTAGTTGTTAACGGTTTGGTTCCTAGATGTTGTTAACGGTTCGGTTCCTGGTTCCTATAAAAATATGTGCATGGAACCGTTATTAAAAAATAAAAAATAGAAAATAGTATTAGTAGTAGTAATAACAATAGAATAACAATCATAACCACCACAACAATGATAATACAATACATATTCAACTAACAATTCTAATTTTCCTTCAAAATAAGCTAACGATTCTAATTTAATCAACGAAAACAGAAGTAATAAATATTGCACATGAGTTGATATAATACATTAAGCTCATTTATACAAATCAAGTTGTGTTCCATCACGTAAATTTTATAAATATAAAATTTGTACTATAACTTGTAGTTGATTGCACATATTTTACTTTACTATTTTCATAATATTTCTAATTATTAGATTTCTTATAAATCATGGTACTAGCAAGTAGAATGTAATAGTGTCTTTTTGTATCTATACATGTGAACACAAATACTCAATTTATTTTTTATGTTCTGAAAGACTCAAAGTAGACGTCATTT